TACATCATATATGTGTGTAAATAGGCTAACCTGTTAGGCAAGTGAGTTAGGCTTTAAAAAAATAAGCCTAACTTATTTAATTAAGTAGGCCTAATTAAAAATTTAAATTTAACCTAAATTTATTTAAAACATAAGTTAAGTTGAGTCTGAAATAAGTCACTCCGTAGGTTATTATTGGGGCCTACTTATTTTCACTCTCAGTCTATTGGAAACCATTATCAATGCAAAACTGAAGCAAAAGGAGCAGCCTAACTATTTAATAAATAACAATGAGATAGTGTTGGGCCCACCTCAATTTTTGTTAAGGAAAAAAAGAGTTTTTTGGACAAATAAGAAAAGATATTTTTAACTAAAAGGAAAAATCGATTAAATCATTCATTCATTCATTTAATATTTCAATATATAATTAAATATATGAAATGTTAAGTTATTTACAAGTCATATATAACATCAGTCTTTCTTTCTTTATTTATTTTTTTGGATAAACAAAGAAAACAAAAGACGGCTACTTTATAGCACAGGAAGGAAGAAATGAAAACTAGGCTCCTCGGCAAGACCATGAGGTAGCGCTAGCGCTCATTTTATAAGGTGATTTAGGGCTTTTTTAGTTTTTATTATCATTTTTTATTTTTAAAAATTATTTTGTAATATAGTTTTTAAAATTATTTTTTAAAGCAAAACAAAATAAAAATCTGTTTGGCTGTATCAATTAAAAAGCTATTTTAAAATTAAAAAATAAATTGACAATGATAGTTATAAACAATTATTGGTGATGACTAATAATAAAAATTAATTAAGATAACTATAATTTTTGAATAACTAGTTATAATATATTTTAAAAAAATGAAATGAAAACGACTTGAAGTTATTTTCGTTTTTATGTTTTTAAAAACAAAAAAATTAATTTTAAAAACAATTAAACAAAAAATATGTATTCAAATAAGTTTTAAAGTTTTTCTGTTTTTAAAAACAAAAAATATTTTTTAAAAATAAAAAACAAACAGGCTCTTAGAGGCTGTTTGGTTTTTGTTCTCATTTTTTCTTTTCAAAAACTGTTTTGTAATACAGTTTTTTAAATTATTCTTCAAAACAAAATAAAATGAAAATCTATTGGATTATATTAATTAAAAAATAATTTTACAATTGAAAAATAGACTAATGGTGATTATTATAAGCAATTAATAATTGTAATTAATTATAGAAATTAATTAAGATAACTATAACTTTTAATAATCAAATGCAGTATATTTTTAAAACAAGAAAAATAAAATAAAAATAACTTAGAGTTGTTTCTTTTTTTTTGTATTTAAAAATAAAAAATGAAAATAGTTTTGAAAACAATTAAATAAAAAACAGTTATCCAAACAAGTTTTTAAATTTTTTTTTGTTTTCAAAACCAAAAAACAGTTTTTAAAAATAAAAAACAAACATACCCTTAGTTTTCACATTTTTCTCTCTTCTAATATAGCCAAGCTCGACAATTTAATCCCAAGATAGTATATTATGACATTCAAGGATTAAGTTTCAATTTTCATGAGTATAATTGTCCCTATCCTTAATCGGGTTAATAGCTCTCAAAGAGTTACTTCGCAGAAAAAAATTTCAATGTCTCCCATTTCAGGCTCATCAAAATCTAATAAGACAAGTTCAAAGTTTAGTAACTAATGAATTTCCTTTTAAAATTTTAGCAAAAAAGCTTTAAATAAAAATTTATGATTATCTCTAATAAGACCCTCACATCACTAATGTGAGAGTGAGGAAGATTGGCTTGTCTCAAGCATAAGCGTGCATCACTATAACTAGAGCCAATAGCCTTAGCCTTCATATAAAGTCGTTGACTTCCAATAACGATGTTTTCATAAATTCTCTCATTTGACATTTCCATATAAGCCAGCAAATAACAACAAACGATTCTTCTCAATTATCAGCATTCTGCCCACTCTAGCAGTGAGGTTTAAAGAGTACCGGTTCCACATATTACAAGAGAGAGAGAGATAAGACTCAATTTACCTTTTAACCGCATAGTAAATTGTAAGAGTTCAATTAAAAATAAATAAACCATGGGGACCTGATTCAAAATAGAGCAAAACTATAAGAACTCATAAATTAATTTTCCCTTAAAAAATATTAGTATCACCAAGATTGTTTAAAAAATATATAATTTTTCAATTTTTGCCCTTCTTTGTGATTAATATCATAATAAATTGTTGTCTAAAACTTTAAATGATAATAAATAAAGGGTAAGCTTTGGAAAAAAAAAATTAGTTACTCTAACTTTGTCATATATTAAACACAAATAAAACTTTTATATTATGTTTGAGAGTTTTTTTAAGGCGAAATGGAATGGAGTGGTTAAAAGGTTTGTGCCAGGAGTTCATTTTAAAGACAAATGGCATCACAAGGAGTAGCATCTAAAGGCATCATTTTCCATCCGAAAATTCAATTTTTTCTATCCCTCCAAATTGGGGAATCAAGGATGGAATGGCTATAAGAAAATATTTTATTCTCATTTTAAAAATATCATATTATTTTCATTCTTTCACCATATCCCCCTTCCTCTTAGCCCTCACTGCGTTGCCACTCTCCTGTGTTTTTCTTTTGGATCAAGCATGTTTGCCTTCATTCAACATGCATGGTGTTGTACTGTAATATACTTCAATTCATAGCGTTGAAGCTCCCTTCCTTGCTCTTTTTGTTTTTTTTTTTTGTTTTTTTGGCTTTTTTCTACCCCAGCTTGCTCGCATTGATTGTTGCTATCGTCTCTTTATTCATTTATCTCTTTTATTAGCTGCTAGAACCAGAACAATGTTTAATGCTATGATATCAACCCTTCACCTTTGTGTCTCTTTATTGCATACATACGTATGTATGATACTATTCAAGTTATCCTTTCACATCTCTTCTATTTACATGATCTTTTTGCTTCTTTTTCATTTCAATCAATAATAAAATTTATGAGAAAGATAGCATAATAAAAATTTATTTACACTTTTTCTTTAAATTTACTCACAAGGATTGAAAGAAAAATCTTTTAATCCATTTTATTCTATCTATTTTATAATACTCCTAAACAATAGTTATATAGTAAGAATATTGTTCTTTTACATCATAAAACTCTCAAACATTAAAAAATTTTACAATTTTCTCACTTCTAATATAGTCAAGCTCGACAATCTAATGTTGAGATAATATATTATAGCATTCAAGGATTAAGTTCTAATTTTCATGAGTATAATTGCCTCTATCCTTAATTGGATTAATAGCTTTTAAAAAGTTATTTCATAGAAAAACTTTTTAATGTCTCCCATCCTAGGCTTGTCAAAGCCTAATAAGACAAGTTCAAAGTTTAGTAACTAATGAATCTCCTTCTAGAATTTGAGCAAAAAAGTTTCAAATGGAAATTTATGATTATCTCTCTAATAATATCTTCACATCACTAATGTGAGAATAAGCCCCATCAACATGAACCATAATCCAACCTTCCTGCAGTACAAGGGGTTTCCCTTCATTCTTCAAGACCCCATGAAGATTGACTTGTCTCAAGCATAGCCGTACTATCACTATAACTAGAGATAGTAGCCTTAGCCTTCATATAAAGTCGTTGACTTCCAACAATGATTTTTTCATAAATTCTCTCATTTGACATTTCCATACGAGCCAGCAAATAACAGCAAACCGTTCTTCTCAATTATCAGCATTCTGCCCTACTGTAGCAGTGAGGTTTAAAGAGCACCAGCTCCACATATTATTAAAAAAAAACCTAAGATAAGACTCGATTTGATAATAGAAAGCCATAAATATCTAACCTCAAGAAATATTTTCAGGGAGAGATTTACCCTTTAACCCTTGATCAAATTGTAAAAGTTTAATTGAAAACAGAAAAATTATAGGGACCTAATTCAAAATAAAGCAAAACTATAAGGATTTACAAATTAATTTTCCTTCAAAAAAATAGTAGCATTACTAAATTGTTTAAAAATATATAATTTTCTAATTTTTGCCCTCCTTTGTAATTAATATCATAATAAATTGTTGTCTAAAAATTTAAATGATAATAAATAAAGGGTGAACTTGAGGAAAATATTAATTACTCTAACTTTGTCTTATATTAAGGACAAACAAAACTTTTATATTATGTTTGGGAGTTTCTTTAAGGCAGAATAAAATGAGTGGCTGTAAGATTTGTGTCGGGAGTTCATTTTAAAGATGAATGCAATGACAAGGAGTAGCATCTAGAGGCATCATTTTCCATCCAAAAATTCAATTTTTTTTTCTATCCTCCAAACTGGGGGATCAAGGATGGAATGGCTGTAAGAAAATATTTTATTTATAAAATTACCCCTAATCTCTAATCCTGTTAAAAATATCATGTTATTTTCATTCTCTCACTATATCCCTCATTGCGTTTCCACTCTCCTGTGTTTTTCTTTTGTATCAAGCATGTTTGCTTTCATTCGACATGGTGTTGATTCTCTCACTATATCCCTCATTGCGTTTCCACTCTCCTGTGTTTTTCTTTTGTATCAAGCATGTTTGCTTTCATTCGACATGGTGTTGTACTGCAATATTTCATATATATATATATATATATATATATTATTCAAGTTATGCCTCTACGTCTGTTCAATTTACATGATCTTTTTGCTCCTTTTTCATTTCAATCAATAATAAAATTTATGAGAAAGATAGCATAATAAAAATTTATTTACACTCTATTCATTTTATAATAACTCCTAAACAATAGTTATATAGTAAGCTCGTTCCTTTACATCATAAAAACTCTCAAATAATAAAAAATTTCATATCATTCTGTTCCACTCTATTCCATTCCATTCTATTAATGATCATTTCTTTCATTAAATTCTAAGCTCTCTCAAACGCGCACTTAAAATTTGCCTTATATTTAAGGATTAGAGGGAGTATTAGTGATGGATTGTTATAGTTAACTTGAGCATACCAATAGAATGGAACTTAAAAAAAGATAAAAGCTAGATTCAATCTGCAGAAAGCATACTTTATATAAAAAGAAATCAAAGTACAGCACAGTGACTCTCACGCTCAGTACTCCTGCTGATTTACTCATATTGCAATAGTGAGATGCTCGTGTTCATAAACTCGTCCAATACTTTTGTAGGCAGCATAAAGATACAGCGAGGTGCCAACCATACACGTAGATAGTATATAATTGAGACATTGTTGTGTTGTACTTGAGATCGTGAAGACCAAATATTATTATTTTACATGGATGATTGTAAATTGATGGCCGATGAGGCAACAGAGGTTTGTAAATAGCATGATGTAGAAACTTATGCATGCGTGACCTGCCAAATTTGGGGTTACTAAATGGGTAGCGGCTTGTAAATGGGAGGCTTTTAAACAAGAGGCTTATAGATGGGCGGTTTCTCTATCGGAGGCTTGTAAAAAGGTGGCTTGTAAATTGGAGGTTTTTCAATTGGGATTTTATAAATAGGAGGCTTGTAGACCGGTGGCTTCTCTATGGGAGGCTTATAGATTGGCGGATTCTCTATGGGAGGCTTGGAAATTGGAGGTTTGTAGATTGGTGGCTTGTAAATTGGTGGCTTATAGACTAGAGGCTTGTAAATTGGGGGTTTGTAGACTGGCGGCTTATAAATGGGAGGCTTGTAAACTGGCGGCTTCTTTATGGGAGGCTTGTTAACGGGAGGCTTGTAAATTGGGGGTTTGTAGACTGGCGACTTGTAAACGGGTGGCTTGTAAACAGGCGGTTTGTAAACTGGCGGCTTGTAAACAGGGGGCTTGTAGACTGGCGACTTGTAAACAGGTGGCTTGTAAATAGGAGGCTTGTAGATTGGCAGCTTCTTTGTGGGAGGCTTGTAGACTGGAGGCTTATGAACAGGAGGCTTGTAGATCGGTGGCTTATAAGCAGGAGGCTTATAAATCGGTGATTTATAAATCGGAGGCTTGTATATTGGAGGTTTGTAGATAGGAGGCTTATATAATGGAGGCTTATGATAGAAGAAATTGGCAAACCCAGGAGGGGTGAGAAATGCAAACAGCAAGACGAGAAGGAAGAAGGAATAAGAAGCCATGATGAGAACTTGGTGTTGTATAATGATGCAAGTGAACAGATTTTATACTGAAAAAAGCAAAGCAAACTCTCCTATAGACACACAAGTGGTCTATCTATATCATAGTAATGATCTTAGTTTACAGCTAATGCCATGTCAAATGTGCACATGCAAAAGCTATATTACTCATTTAAATGCCGTTTTATTTAGTTGAGAGGTGTAGGATTGCTAACGCTCTCATTTATGGTTCATCAAAATCATGACGGGTCTTATTTGGCCATGCATGCCATGTAGATTTGGTCAGACATTGGCTACTATATTCTTTTTGGGTTGCACAAAGTTATCCTCGCGACCGACAAAAATGAGTTTAATTCCTCAAAAAATTTGAGAGATTGTTCTCTCTCAAGTGATATTTTTTCATATACTTTCCCAAGCATCAATTCATAAAATAATGTTTAAATGGCTCAAACTACTATCATATGTGTCACACCTACTTGGTCATTAACTATTAAATTTAATTTTAATTTAAATTATCTACTAAAGTAGCCTTTCTCATGTTTTTATTATAAGATATCTCTAACTAATTCATCAAAATTAAGAAGAGGTATTAAATTATTAACTTTGCATAAAAAAGAATAAACTTTTTATTTTATCCATTTTTAAATGAATTTTTTTAAAATTTACGTTCCATTCTCTCTCATAATTAATACATTTAAATAGAGATAATATTGAAAAAAATATAATTAATACATCAACAAGTACCTTATATTAAAAATCATCAATCTCTCCTCTTTATAATATAGACCGAAGAGAGCATTCATTTAAATAAGCAAATATATTATATTTAAAAGCATAAAAAAATTGTTTGGGCAAGTGTTTTGGATTTAAAGGTTAATAATTAGGACAACCATAAAACCTTCTCTCAAAATTCTCCTAACTCCATAAGATCCATCGTGGAACCACTTGACCACAATGACAGTACCTTGCTGGACCTTCAGATACTAAACCTCACAACATGGCTTTAGCATTGCGAGCATCCTCCTACTTAAATCCCATCACCCGAAAGGATGTTGACTCAACCATGCCTTCAATAAACTCGACCAACATTTCAATGAAGCTTCGATCCTTTTTGAAGCTTTCAACTGAGTACAGGTCGAGAGCTGGTGTAGTTGGTTGGCCTCTTAATGGGAGGCAACGTTGATCCACGTCATCCATCTTTTTTTCGACGTGTTAGTCCACTCACCATATATCACTTGTCACATTTGATTCCATTGGCCAACAATTCTACTTTAACAGTCAGCGCAAATTTTCTCACCACACTGCAACCACCACCACTGTGGTTCCCCTGCCACTACAACAATTTTTACTTTAAATAACAGTTTTATTGACAATAATTTTAAAAATATTGCCTAATATGGGCATTAACAATATTTTTTATATGTTGCTATTGTTCTCATGCTTTAAGCAACATAGTTTTGGCAACGTTTAAAGAATGTTTCTTAAAATAGAATAAGCAATAGTTTTTAAGTGTTGCAATCATTTTTTTGAATAGGCAACACAAAAATTATTGCCTATAAAGGATTTTTTATGACAATATTTTAAAAATGTTTCCTATTCAAAATAGGCAACAAAAATGTAAATGTTGCCTATAGTTTCTCTTTAAGGCAACATTTAAAAACTGTTGCTTGTTATTTTTCTAAACATAAAAAATTATTTTTAATTTATTTTTATAATTTATTTATTTATTCTCTTAATTTTTCAATTCATTATTTGAATAAATTAAAAAAAATTAATTTAACATGTGTATATATATATATATTATATTTTGTATTATAATATCAAAAAGTCAAGTTAGAAAAATGGTTTGAGACACCTATTCCTTTCAATAGGTTTTGGGTTCGCATAAAGGAAATATTACATTTGACTATTTAACTATTTCGCAACAATTTTTAAATATTGCCTATTTTATGTGATAAGCAACATTTGAAAAGTGTTGTAATAGGTCTCCCAAAAACTGTTGTCTATTCTCATAGTTTTAGACAACAGTTTTACAAACGCTATGGCCAAAGGTAAGAAAACTGTTGCCTAAAATAATAGGCAACACTCAAGTTGAAAACATTTGAAAACTGTTGTCTATAACTTTAAGCAACATTTTTCAAGCCTATAATAATATTTTTGAATTATTCCTAGATAACAAAAATGTTGTAGTGCATGCTTTTGTACCCTCCAGCATTGTTACTACACAGAAGCGGTAATTTGAGTTAAGCCCGACAAACTGGTTCAAATAAGCTCGATAAATTTTATGGCCGAACTTGAAAGTTTAAAATTTTTTTTATTCCAAGCTTATTCGAGCCACCCAAATAAACTTGAAAAAATTCAAGCTTGGTATGAATACCTGAATTTCTTTTTTTATTATTTATAAAATAAGATAAAAATTGAACATATTAAACTTTAAAATAAAAATTGAAATTACATAAATAATAAAAAACATAATATAATATAATTTAACAATTTGGGTGGTCAGGCCATATCAAATAAACTCAAAAGCTCAATGGGTTAAAATCAAACTCGACTATATAAACATTTTTATATATTAAATTATTTTAAATTCGATTCAAACAAGCCTAATTTAAATAAGTATAGTCCACTTGAACTCCATAAAGTGGCCGGAGGTGCAGTGCCCCCACGGCCATCTTGATCATACATTCCAAACATGATCCAATTTAGGTTTGTTAGGTCCACAAGCGAAATGAGAAAAGTAAACGTTGCGAAACGAGTTTGGTGAGATGATTAATTGATTATCCAAAAGGGTCACGGAAGAGGATAGTAGCCGGACATAAATTTTGAGCTTGTAAACGTGGAAGCTACAACAGCAATTTTTAACAGTATTGGCGACGTTTTTTGCCGCATGGGATGATGGGGTGATGACTTATGATGAGTTATGAGTGACAAGGACCAATTTTTTTAATTGAAAGAAAGATTAGGACATTATTGAGTTAAAAATTTAAAAACTGAGTCATCATAAATTATAATTAAGAGATAAAGTTATGATTAGGTTAAAATTTGAAAAACCAAAAAGATTAAAAAAGAAAAAAAATTAATATTTTAATCCTTTAACTTTTAACTCACCTGTAACTCAATCCCTCAACTATAACTTACTGTAACTCAGTCCTTCAACTTTTGACTCACTTATAACTCAATTCCTCAATGTTTGACTCTTCTATGACTCAATCCTTCAACTTTTATTAGCTCTCTTTTTTCATGTTAGTTTAAATCTCACATTAAAGGGCAAGATGAAAGTATTTTAAAGCAAGATATGAGTATCTTTTTTCCTCTTATTTCACAAGGATACTTTGTTTAAAAAATTGAAAAATAAGAATCGAGTTATAAGTAAATTAAAAATTAAGGGATTGGGTCATAGTGAGTTATAATTGAAACACTGAGTCGTGGCGAATTATAATTGAGAGATCAAATTATAAGTGAGTTAAAAGTTAAAAATATAAAAAATTAATTTTTCCATTAAAAAATTTATATCATTGATGGCTTATAATTAAACAGTATAACTTGCCATAAATTTTTTATATGCATATATAGATATATCGATGATACTTCCTCTAGTAGTCGAAATAATAAGTCATGTTTCAACAAAAAAAAAAATTACGTGTACCAATAAAAGATGTAAAAAATTCAATAACTGGTTAAATTCCACGTCATTTTGGTTATAAAAAAAAAAACTATTCCACTCCATTAAAAATCGCATTCCTCAACATCGATCACTAGACACAAATTGGAGGGAGTATTGTTTTTCCCCTATAGGTTTATTCACATGACTGACAGTCATGGGACTAATTTTTTAAAAAATATGAGCATTATTTAAAAAATTATTCTCTTTCAAATGATATTTTTTATATACGTTTTCAAAAATCAAATTTTAAAATAATATTTAAAGGGCCCATATAATTATCATCCACATCATGCCACCCCCTCTTGGTGTTTGATATATTATATTGATTACACCTCATCTTAACCAAAAGGTGGAGAAGGTATTTATATATAATGTATTCTTTCCGCACAAATTTATAAGATATTTTTTAAAGAAATTCAGCATTCCAAATATAAAATGCTTTCATAAGATTAAAGTTTTATTAAATATGTTTATTTTAATATTATTTTTTTCTCTTTATTTAATTTTCATTCATTTTTCTTTTCAATATATTAAATAAAAAATGTACTTGGAAATTTATATTTTTCTTTTAAAAAAAATTATTAAATATATTTAATAAAATTTATTGATATATAAATGTCTTCAGTTGGGACAGGGAGAGTATTTATCAAAGATATGACACCTATTCATTCAATGTATTATTTATTAAAATATTATTAAATATGGTTAAAAATACCTTACATTTTTAAAAATAAAGTGTTAATCATATTTTTCATATATTCTAAAGTAAATTGTGTGACAATAAAATAAATTATTATTTGTATTTGTGTATAATCTAATAACTAAAAAATTTCTTATGTTGTACTAGGAATAAAACAAATATAGTTAATATCAGTTGCTAAATAAATTAAAATATATAGTTATTTTTATTTGTCCTATTTTAAAAAATAAATAAAATTTAACTTTCACTCTGCTCCTATTTATTTCTCTTAAACAATATGGATTAATGTTTCCATACATCGCACGGATCAAAAATTTAGTCATTGATTAAAATATCATTGTAATTTATGTCTGCATGGTAATTTGTTTTAGCAAGCATTTACTCCTTCTGTACGCAAAGAATAATTCTTAATGGATATTCCAAAATTCCCCTTGGCCTTGGACTTTATGGTCATCGATAATCTATATTATCCATTAATTGACTACTATACCCATCAAATTCACTTATTAATTTCCTACCTTCGGTTTTATTTTAGGTTTACCAACTCAATCATAAAACATTTATATTTATTGCATAACAGTTAATTTTACTTATAAAATTACATATCATGAATCAAGATAATACACATAATTATGCACACCTACGTAAACATTCCT